AAGCAGAAAGATATCAAGTGAATCCTGAATTACTTTATTTTTTATGAAATTTGAGATGATCTCTTGTTTTTTTGTTGCTGTTTACGGAAGAAACTAAACAGTATACTTTTTCATATAAAATAAAAGTTTGAAAATCATACTCTGACTGTGAAAATATCTGCCGGATGTCCATTAGCTTCGGTCAGGTACCAAATACAGCTATCTGGGTCCGGTGCCGAAAAGTCGCACCGGTGCAGGATATTAGCTTTCATGCATAACCTTATGTTTTCTTCATGAAAATAAATTAAGTGTATAACAGAAACTAAAACGATACATTATAATAAAGTTATAGAATTTAGTAGGTGTAAAAAAAAATAGAAACATCAGCCGGCTTAATTTTGCCCTGCAGACTACTTAGCCAAATCGAAAAAGAAATGGTCTGTTTACAGCTCTAGTCTGGATTATCAACAGAAAAGTAGGACTATTTTCCGACAAACTTCTAAATTAGCACATAGAAATTTTAATTCATGAGAATTAGTGATTAACTTTTATGTAATTACTGCTTTGTAATATACAAAAAAATGCAAGATTTCGCATTATTGTACTATATCTGATGAAAAGTTGGGACTTAATCGATAGAGGACGTTAGTCATCAGTATTTTGAATCTATTTTTATTTAATATTTTTTTCAGAATCTCACAGCATGAATTCTTATTAAATTTATAATATATACATAATTTTAAAAAAAATAAAATGAATATAATTTCCGATTGGATATTATGTTGTTCTTATTATTAATGTGGTTCGAAAAATGTTAAAAATTCTTGCTAATCCTTCATTTGTTTTTGTTGATGATTAATTCTTTCCATATGATATATATATTTGATAAAAATAACTGATGACTCTCATATCATCATCTCTTCAAAACGAAATTGATGATCTAACTCAACGTCGTATCTTATTCAAACAAAAATGGATTGATAAACAACGAAATATTTCTGATTTACTTACATCGGCTGTTAGTGCTTGTCGTTCAAGTGCTCATGATATTCATTCTAATGAATCACAACAACAAGAACAACAGCAACAACAACTACAACAAGAGCTATCGTCAGATACACTTGATGATCCAGATTTTGAACGTTTATTTATTGATTATCTCACTAAACATGCACCTGTCTCAATTGCAACTATCGCTCAGGTATTTTCCAAAGAAGATGAACAAATCAATTATTTATTAAAAAAATTAAAAATTAAACTTAATATTGATGGTAAAACTATTTTACCTTTTGATCATGTTGATCAATTATTAACTTCAAATTTATCAAAATCTTCTTCTATTTCAATAAAACGATCACTTCCATCATGGATGGGTTTACCATCACGTCGTCGTACATTATTACCTCGTGAACGTCCACCTCGTCAACTTGTTCATTTACTTTCACATTTAACTGTACGAGAATTAGAACAAGAAAATTTTAATGTACAAATGGATCGATTACTTAATCGACAAACAGCTATGGAAAAAATGCTTTCACGTCGTTTTCGTACAAATGATACAATACAAGAATATTGTCAATATACAACACGTGATGAATGTCCTTTAGCAAGTCCACATTTACGTCTTCATTCTCGATCATCATCAACATCATCGGATGATGAACAACAAATAACTGAAGATGATTTACAAATACATAAGAAAAAAAGAAAACGAGATGATTCAATTGATTTAAATGAACAAACAAAACATTCATCACGTTATCATAAAAAAAATGGAAGAAATATAAATACATGTGGTAAAGTTCATTTTAGACGTTTAATTAAACCACATACAGATCGTTCACTTGGTGATTGTTCTTTTCTTAATACTTGTTTTCATATGGTAAGAAGATAAATAAATTTAATTAAATGTTAATTTTTTTCTTTTTCCTATAGGAAACATGTAAATATATTCATTATCAAATAGATAAAACTGATTTTACACCATCATCTAGTAATAATAAGACAAAACGTCATTTACCAATTGTTGAACGCATTAGTCCAGGTTCATTACCACCACAATGGGTTCAATGTGATTTACGTCAATTTGATATGTCAGTACTTGGAAAATTTTCTGTTATTATGGCTGATCCACCTTGGGATATTCATATGGAATTACCATATGGAACGATGGCTGATGAAGAAATGAGAAGACTTGCTATACCATCATTACAAGATGATGGATATATATTTTTATGGGTAATTTTATTTACATAAACAAAACAAAACAAAACAATTTTCTTTTGTTTTTTCTTCAGGTGACTGGTCGTGCAATGGAACTTGGTAAAAAAAAATTTCTTGATTTTTTTTCTTTTTCTTTACTTTCGGAGGATGACTCCTGACGCCTCCTCTACCCCCGAAATGCAACTAAACATGACTCAAGCGTTATTTTGTTAAATGGCAAACAAGAAAAGAAGATGATAATCAGCAAGAGAAGAAAGAGAGAGAAAACAAGAATAATATGAATAGATAAAGAAGTAGTTAACTGAAGGTAATAGTCAAGTAGAATTTTAATAGTAAAGTAAAGATATGTACGATAAAGAAAGACTTAATGAGATGAGTATGAGTAAGAAAGATAAGCGTGCAATGATGAGTAAAATTATAACAATGAATGAATTATTGTGACTAACGAGGAAATAGTCAGTAACAATCACAAATATTAATAACTGTACACATAACAAGAAGAAAGAGAGAACATAAGTGACAGCTACTACCGTCACATATTCTAATCTTTGAAAATTTTCGTTTTTCTCTAACGAATCTGAACGATTTTCTTCGTTTTTCTGCTCACCAATCTCCATAATACGGGTCGATTTCTACTCCCAATCTTAATGAATTCGAGACATCCGTATCAATTTTAAATATGTATTTTGTTTAAGGACGTGAATGTCTTCGTATATGGGGTTATCAACGATGTGATGAAATAATATGGGTTAAAACAAATCAATTACAACGTATTATTCGTACTGGTCGTACTGGTCATTGGCTTAATCATGGTAAAGAACATTGTCTTGTTGGTGTTAAAGGTTCAACTGCTGGAATGAATCGTGGTCTTGATTCGGATGTTATTGTTGCTGAAGTACGTGCAACATCACGTAAACCAGATGAAATATATGGTATGATCGAACGATTATCACCACGAACACGTAAAGTTGAATTATTTGGACGACCACATAATGTTCAACCGAATTGGACTACACTTGGTAATCAATTAGATGGTGTTCGTTTAATTGAACCTGATGTTGTTCGAAGATTTCGACAAAGATATCCACATGGATATAGTATGACAACAGCTAATCAACAGCACGAAATAAAAACATCAGTAACAAATCAACAAATAAATTCAAAATAATGGAAGAAAAAAAAGAAACTTAGTTTTGTTGTATGTACAATTTCTTTTTAATATATTAAAAAAAGAAAATTTATTAATTTAATTCAATCATTTTGTTTTTGTTTTATTTCGAGTATATTTGAATGAAATTTGATATTTATTTTAGTTGTAAATCTCTTCTGATATTAAAAGAAAAATAAATATCATCATATTTTTTGAGTTGTTCTCTTCTTCGATAGGAGAAAGAAAAGAAAAGAAAAATCGAAAATGTTAAAAGTTTTGTCGACAACACTTCTTATTCTAGCAACTTTATTAGGCACATAAATTGATGATTGAATTGAAACGAATAATTGATATTTTAGTTTATAATTATAGATATGTTTCATTTTTATTTTATTCGTTCTCTATCAATCTTGGTATGTTTGTGAAGTGGAGAATTTTTATTTATTTATTTGCATTAGGTGTGTCATTCACCTTATTCATCATGTTAATATCGACTGTAGCGTAAGAAAAAACCAGCGAGAAAAAAAAAGAACAATAATTCGAGAGACAAATATAAAGTAGAATCAATAATAAAGAACTAAAAACAAAACTACAGTATATACAAGACAGCATGTTTGTAACGTTGTACATACATGCTTTTAGAAAAAAAAAAAAAGCAAAGAGTTTTGATGTTTCTACATAATAAACACACACACTCTCGCCTTCATATAGTGCGACGTGTGCGTAGGAGTTTATGCATCACGTAGAAGAATAAGAATAAGAATTTCTTTCTATTTATTTTGTTTTAGATTTGAAAATTATTCATATTTTGGTTTTTGTGTGAGTTAAAAACTCTTAACTGTTTGTATATATCATTCTATAAGATATTGAAATTATTAATTGAAATCAAAATTATTGAAAACAAAAATGGCTCAATCTGAACCCAATGAAGCTTTTCTTAGACAAGTTTTTCAAAGGTAAATTTATTTCGTATGAATTTATAATTTTCTGCAAGAATTAAAATATTGTATAAAATGTTTATATTAATAAAAAGATTGTTGGTCAAATAAAAAACCAAGAAAATTAATAATACATAGAAGTCTTTAAAATTCATATTTCTCGGAAATCATTTTTATTATTCTATAAATTAATTTTCTTTTAGGGTAGACACTGATAAATCAGGTTCTATATCATCGAATGAACTGCAAGCCGCTTTATCTAATGGTACATGGAGTCCATTTAATCCTGTAAGATATTTATTCTATTCAAATAAAAGATAATATTTGTAATTGAATTTTTCTGTGCAGGAGACTGTTCGAATGATGATCGGTAAGTTGT